GGAGCGCGGGGGGGAGGTCCGTGTGGGGACTCGGCTGAAGGGCTGTGGTGGGCGCCTGGAGCTCGTCAGCGGTGTTGTAAATAACGTGTAAATTTTCCACACACACCCTGCGCTGGAGGGTCAGGCTGGGCGCAGCGCTCCTGCCTTCGCCCAACCTATAATCACACTTGGCTAAAAATGGTGCCGGGACGCTTCGCCAGGGCTGGAGCTGCCTCGCTGGGCCGCTGCGTGAAACCCAGCGCAGCACTGGTGGGACAGCATCAGGTGAACGAGGCCGATGGCCATAGGCTGGCTGTGTTTAGGAAAAAAATCCAACACAAGCAGAACTAAACAAACCCACTATTCACATCACCGGGGCACAGCCTGCATCCCGTAATTTTGCCGTGACTTTGCTTTTCAGCAGCTGCCTTGGCTCGCTGGGCCGCTGCGTGAAACCCAGCGCAGCACTGGTGGGACAGCATCAGGTGAACGAGGCCGATGGCCATAGGCTGGCTGTGTTTAGGAAAAAAATCCAACACAAGCAGAACTAAACAAACCCACTATTCACATCACCGGGGCACAGCCTGCATCCCGTAATTTTGCCGTGACTTTGCTTTTCAGCAGCTGCCTTGGCTGGTTGGTTCTTTGTGTGGGTTTGGGTGGTTTTTTTTAATAGTCTGTACTTGTGCTGCGCTGTGGGAGATCCTTGCCAAGCGTGGCACAGCCAGTGCCAGCCCAGCCCCAGAAGAAATGCTTCCATCGCCGTGGGCAGGCGTCTCCTGGCACCGGGGTGCTGATGCAGCGCTCGCATCCACGGGGAGCCCCGGGCGTTGCTCATGCCCCAGCCTGGGAGCGGCCGGGGAGCCCTGGGCGTTGCTCATGCCCCAGCCTGGGAGCAGCAGGGGAATTGGTGGCGACTTGTGCTGGCGAGAGGCACGTCCTGCTCTGCCCCATCTCCTCAGTGCTGCTTTCCGAGTCGGCTTCAGAGGCCACTTCGTTTGGCCCAGGGGAGCAGTGACCTGCGCACCCTGTCCCTGCTGTGGGACAGTGACGTGGTGCAGGACAGCAGGTTACAGCTGTGGCTGCCCTGGAGCTGCTGCGGGAGGGACGCTCCCGCGGTGTCACGCCAGCGGTGCTCGAGTGAGAGGCCAGCCTGTTCTGGTGCCACCACCGATGTTTTAGCCACAAAGCTTGAGGAAGCTGGCAGGGCACTCTGTGCAGAGCGGAGAGCCCAGGGACCTCCCTGGGCCGGCAGCAGAGCCGGTTCCTGCGCTGGCACGGAGCTGCGGAAGCTGTGACAGCAGCACTGACAGGCAAGCAGGTGCCTAAGGACTGTGCAGACAGGAACCAGGTTAAATATCGTGCATGAAAGGGGCTAACTGCAATGAGTTAGTCCTGAAAAATGCAAATACATCCACACACCTATCACCTTTTACCCCTTCCCTGCCCAGCTCCGAGACCCAAACTGCCGGGCCTGTCTCCCCGACAGCTGCCGCTTTGAGTCGATCTATCCGGCCACATTGTGATGAACACAAAAAGCCGATCCCAAAGTAGAGAAGAGCAGAGCACTGACCATTTCAACAAGAGAAAAGAACCCAGCATCAAAGTGATTTAGTTTACAACATTTTTAATTTACAAATAAAAAAACTACACATTTTACTTTTTCTCCTTTTTCTCCTCTTTCTTGACGTCACTTTTCTCCTTGTCTTTCTCCTTCTCATCTTTTCTCTCCTTTTTACTTTCTTCTTTTTCCTGTCCTTCTTTCTTCTCTGCATCCCTGTTGGCAATCTTGTTGTTAATGAGGTTGTGCAGGGCAACCACGGAGCGGATAAGAGAAGCCAGATAAACTACCACCATCTGGTCATTGGTCTTCAGATAAAAGGCCTTGACAAACTCTTGCAGGTTGACGTCTGGTAGCAGGTTGAAGACGTCCTGAAGATGGTAGATGATCTGGTGATTGATGGGGAGTTTGCCCATGGCGACTTTCTCTAGGTAGCTCCTGATGTCCAGAAGCTTGGAGTTCAGTCCCTTCAAGCCATGGACCTGATTCGTGATCCGCTGGGACAGAGTGCCCACCGTTGTATCCTTGATATCCCTGAAACACCCATAATGGAACGAAATCAGCACTAGAACGTTACTTGGCAGTCTCACTGACAGGTGGGCATATGCACTTACGAGGTCTTTCCAGCTCAAAAAGCAAAGCAGTTTGAAGCACAGCTGAAGTACTGAATTACATGGAATGCTTCAAGTCAAAGAATGAGAACAAACCGACGTACGTGACAAAGGGTATCTAAAACAGATCACTGTTGTAGCCTGTGGTGCGTGTATGTTCTCTTTGGAGTAATATTTGTAACACCAGTTAAGAGGGATAGAGAGAGATAAACAACGGGATTTCTGACTGGTGAAAAGGCGACGTGGTTTGCAGAGGGTGACTGCTCTCTTTTTTTGACTGGAGAGCTACAGACCCATCAGCACCACCCCCGGGGGATGCTGCTCTGTGAGGTACACAGCGGTCGGAGACGGTTCCAAACGATGCAATATTCTGCAGCTTTGATGATAGTGAAAATGTAGTTTGCATCACCTGACGGAGTTTCAGTGGGCAGTCACACATTTCACTAGCAGTGAGTGAATACGCCAAGCGAGGCCGCTAAATGAACACGTTCTTAGGATTTAAGCAGCATGTTTAACAATATCTGCATTTCCTGCGGGAAGCTGGCACTGGGAGATGCCAGATGGATCGCGTTCACTGCTCTGCCCGTCTCGTAAGAACGCTTTCACGTTAAAGACGCTTACCGTAGCAAGTGTTCAACACCAACTTCCTCTGCCTCCTCGGCTCCGATCTCGCTAGTCACATGCTCGAACGTCTTGGAGGTCGGAGTGCCATCCTTTGAGGGGCAAGGACACAGGAGACATGGTCAGACTGAGCGCAGGGCTGATGGCAGGGACAGAGGTGCACACCAGCTGGCCAGGACAGGCGTCTCGCACGCCAACGGTGCGGCAACTCGCACCGTGTCACAGCCTAAGGTCAACTGACGCCTGTTTGCATGACAGGATCAGGGACAGGCAATGGGGCAAATTACGGCAAGACCGAGTACCAGGGGACTGAAGTGCACAGCTAAGGGGAGAAATCTGCAAGTGACTCACAATGCCTTTTAAAACCACGGATTTTTAGATAGAGTATGAGAAACTGTATTAATGAAACTAGCAAAGCAGTTATATACAGTCCACAAGAAATAAGAAATCAGACTCTAGTTGGATTTTCCTTGATCTAATTAGTGTTACCAGCTGTCACGAGCCCAGAGCTGGTAGCAATTTCTTTTTTCTCATGCTCTGGGTAGTTTTCAATTCATGTATTTTGCTGGTCTATGTACTGGTGGGTAGAATGGAAAGTCTCACTAAATAACACAATTATTTCGTTCTTTCCTGATATGATCTTACTACATTTTGGGACACCTTTTGTCACCCTGGTATTTGGTCTCAGCCAGCGAGAAGCACATATGCAGTTAGAGGCAAAAAAAAATACTAATATGAAGCAATCTCATTAAAATTATAATTTATGCACTGGATATTAAGGAAGCTGTTTAAGAGATTCACAGGCTGAACTTCTCAGAATGAGTTTTACCCACGTATTTTCAAAACCATCACCTGGACCAGTATACAGCTGTAAGCTGAGAGCACCTGGGACTATTGTGAATTCACAAAACTAAGAACAAATCCTGCAGATGCAAGATCTGCAATACCAGGAGCAGCTTTTTCTCAATATTGAGGGTCTCAGAAAGGCAAAAGTATCAAACCTTTTTATATACATCTAGAATGTAATTTAAATCAAACAATTGCGAGTGAAAAGCTAAAGCTGACTTACTACCGTATGTTGTTTGTCTGCACAGTGCTGCAAGTCATCAGTAAGTGTTGCTCATGCCGGACCTGCCTACTCAGCACTGGCATGTGCACAAAGGAATAAGCACACTATTACTCAGAACACCTCTGCAAAGAGGCTGACGTGTAAAAGTGGCATCTTAAAAGTGCTCCAATCTGTGACTTTCTTTATGGCCACGGACCTGGTAGAAACAGGTAAGAAGCACCTAAATCACAGGGACAGCTGGAGCTGTGGAATTCCTTATGTCAAACAGTAACACACAGCTTTTCTTCCAAGAGCACTGGTGGATGAAAGCTTTGGTTACGAATGCTTATATTATGACTGGGATTTAACCTCCGGTTTCAGCAGATTTTGGCTGCAAGTCACAGGCCCTCACTAGTGAGTGCACCTTGCCATATGTCAAAGGCAACTATGTGCCATGGGATGTGCACCCTTCAGAAAATATGGCAATCCTAACAGCCATCTTTTAATGGAAACCCTTTTCCTAGGAAAAGGCAGAGAGACATGGCAAATACTCACATCGTGAACTTCTTCAACTGAAATATAAGCTTCTGTGGGCAGCCCCAGGTCCTTTGGCTTCACATCAATAATCACCAACACCTTATGGAAAAAGCAAACATGTCAGAAAACCGGGTTTCATTCAAAGACTAGAAAAAAAATACCTAAGTCAGCAATGTTACCAGCAATGGTACGCTGGCTGCTAGGAGGTGTTAGCTTCAGGCACGGAGAAAAGACATCTGCAGCTGTTTCAAAAGACTCCAATTTGAGTTCCGCAATCACTGTACAGCTACCAGGCCTTTAACAAGCTGTATCACCAGTAACAAAGGTGGGGGCCAAGGTTCCCAGATCCCCCATTTAGGAAGAGAGACAAAAAAAACCCCAAACCAAAGAAGTGCCGCACTTACGGAGTTAGGACAGTATCTTTTCATCAGTTCATTGATGGCGATGTCGTTCTTGTGCAGTTTAGGGCCCGTGTGGTACCAACCAACTATTCTTTCTCTAGCTGAGCAAAACCAGAAAGGATTCTAAATAAGAATCGCGTGGTAAGACAACAGCAGAAAGATTTAGGCAGAGATTAGATTAGCAAATCAAGGGTGCAAATCTGTCGTGTGCAGAAACACATGTAAAGTAGGGGGAAATGAATCACAGTAGGCAAGACAACGACACGGCTAGTGACAGTGACAGTTTACTAATCATACTTTCTTGTCATAGCTTACTAATCACATAGGTAACTTTACTCCTAAGTTCTTAACTAAACGGGACTATTTTGTAACATTTATTAATTTTGCAGATAACCAGAATTTGACAGCTTGAAACTCTGACATCTAAGGGTTGAAAAATTCTAGAAATGGAAAACTGTATCATGAGAATGACAACTGGTCCCAGGGCTAAGAAAATTCATAGGAATTGCAGATATGACTGAACATTCAAGGAATTGCAGGTATGACTGGACATTCAGCTCTAAAGTCTCAAACTGAGCAGCGAAGACACTTTTTAAATCAGTGGCGAAGAGCAATTAGAATAATTATTAGAGCTTTGTAATGTTCGCATTCATAAAAAACTGATTTTGGGGCATAGCGGTAAAGAACGGGTTAGAGAGGGGAAAGCTTTGAAATTCTTCAGAAATAATGGCATTTTTGAAATCTGAATTATTCTGAAGATATAAAGCTGTCAGGAGGCTTGGCAAAATTAACAAGGTATAAATTGATGTGCTAGTAACACAAACTACTTGCAAAAACTAACCCATGGAAACCATCGGGGAAAGTGAAGCCATGCAAGGAATTACCATGGAGTGGCTTCTTAGGTGAGCAATTACTCTCTGCCTTACTACGAATTCACTTCCCCATACAGAGTCTTTAAAGTTTCTAGGAGGGTAATCCTGGCTGCAAGAAGACCTCAGCTTACCGTTGACCTTCTTAAACATTCCGTACATGTTCTCCAGATAGTCATGGTCCAGAAACCACACAGTATCATCCTTGTCATCCTCATCAAAAGGTACTGGGAATAAAACAAAATACCAATATTTAAGAATCCAACTTCCAGAATTAAAATGTTCATAGAAACACTGTGTTTTAGGATATCTTTGGCTGCTAAAGGAGAGTGGATTTTAATTAGTTTCAACTGTTTGGCAACACTACGTTGCGTAAGCGGACCTGCAGTGCCGGTCAGTTCTCGCAGGTAGAGGCTGTCTCACAGACACTAACAGGTTAGGACCAAGAAATGAAATGCAAGGCATTCTGAGGGTGATCCTCGGTCGACAACATCAAACATCAGAGAGAAATCCGCTCCCGCACAAAAATGACTCAACAGTGTGCACAGACATTTGATACGATAAACTGAGCATGCCAGCAGACTTGATCAACAGCAGTCTACTTAGAGAAAAATTAGTTTTCAGTGTAGAATATGTCATCAGCACTTTTATAGACTGCTAGAACACCATGAGCTGCAAGTGAGGACTACTTACCCTTGAGTAAACAACTAGTTATGTTATCAGTTAGCATGTATATAGGCATACAGGCTCAGTTCTGAGAACAAAGACTGGTCTCACTCTTTTAACTTTCAGGTATAGTAAAAGCTTCATAGTTGACAGGCTGTCAAAATGACAAAAAACCCCTCTTTCCAACTCAAATGGAAAAAAGTTCTTCCAAAAATTGGAAAAAAAAAAATAGTCCACATTTGTGAGAAGAACTCCATATAAACTGTGAAACTCCATGAATAAACTGAGATCATTTTGCTTTGTCACAGAGTAGCCCCACTGGGAAGGAAATGATCTAACTAACACAAATGGGTCAGCAAAAGCTGCACATCCAAGAAGTCCTCTTCTTATCCCATGTAAGTATTTCAGAGGAAACTACTTCAACACTGTTAACAACATATTTAAGTGAAGAACTAGTATTTAATTGGACCAAAATCTGAGGAAAATAATACACGTTGAATCTTTACACAAGGAGTTAACAGCTACACCAACACGGAGAGCTGCGATTTCCGTATGAGATGCGGAGACACTGATCACTCAGCAGCGGTCAGCGAGTCCAATGCACCAAAATATCCACCAGCGTTCTGAAAGAGGTTTACATCCGCTCCCGAAACGTTCCACACTGCACAATATTACAGGGAAGATGCAGCACAAGCCTGGCTGGAATAGGCGTATTTTTGACAGCGGTTAGCATTTTTTGTTAGACTGAGGCTGATTTGTATGTGGAGGGAACGATCTGTGCTCTGGCAGGGTGGCTTAAAAAAACCCAAACGCGATTCATCTATTAAATAATTCAGCAGGTTTGAACAAGGGTAGGACACCCAAACTCACCTGCAAAACTGTTGGACACATCCAGTATTTTCTTCTGCCACGAGCCCAGCAGCACACCGACGACTCGCTTCTGATTTCCAACTTTTCCTATTCTAAATGGAAAAGACTCTCAGTTCCTACGACAAAAAGCCCGATTCGGAAAAGAAGGTAACAGCGGACCGCTTACTTCGCCCCATTTCTGCAAGCTGAAGAGTACAGGTGGCGGAACAGAAGAAGCAGCGTGATGATTGTTTTATTACTGACTGTTAATTTACATCCAGAAAAAGGCTTTCTGGTGTCCTGAGAGCCAAACCTTGCAACCCAGCGATGCCGAACACGGACGGCGTGGTCCGACGCAGCTCATGAGGGGAACAGGACCCGAACTCAGCGCGGCTGCAGCCCCTCCGCGGGACAATGGGCTACCAGAAAGCGAGTAAGCGCTCACACCGCTCCCCGTCACCCACAATTTGCATTCACAACAGCAAGCTTGCTTGCCTTGCTATTTTTTTTTTTTTTAAACATTAAAATTGCTTGTCAGCTGGCGCAATTAAGTTAAATTAGGCACAAATTACACTAGGTGTTTAGAAGGGTACGGTTTATCCCCCGCTCAGCTTCAGGGCCAAACCCCGCTGCTCCCCCCCCGTGTTCTCAGGAGCAGGGGGCTGCTCCCCAGCCCTCGGCAGGGCGCTGACAGCCCCCTCACGGCACCCGGCGCTCCCCACCCGCGGGCTTTGCTCCTCCTGAAGAGGAAAACGGCGGCG